TGCGTAGGAAGTCTGGCTTGCTTTCTGAATCACAGCTGGGGTGGGGCTGCTAGGACCCACAGAACCAGCTCTCCGGCTGCCTTTCAGCCCTAGCAGGGTGTTCCGTACAGGAAAGCCTGCCTGCTGACACCTCTGGTCCCACCCCCACCCTTGAGCTCTCTGCTAAGGACCCATCCTTCATCTTTCAGGAAGATCAAGGCCAGGAACTTGGTTTCTTTCATCATTCAGGGTGGAGGGAGGCAGCGACCTAGGCCCCTGGGATCTGTAGTCCACTAGAGATTGAGCCCAAAGACCAGCAGAGGGACGGCCAAGGGCAAAAGCCGCCTGGGCTGACTGAAGCCCAGGCTTGGAGTAGCACCATGCAAGGGAGACAAGTTTAAGTTCAGTGTTAGGACCTAGCCAGTCCCGTCTCCCTGAGAGGGACCAGCTCCACAAGCTGAGCTACAGGGTCTGGAGAGGTGGCATAAGGGAATGAACACAGTGTGGTGGGGGAGGGTCACCGCCTCGATTCCAGTTCCTGCCAACAGCACGCTTCCTCCAGGCCTTCTCACTGTAGAGCCCACAGCCCTAAATGTGGTGGGGTTTGCTCTAGCAGCGCCCCTGGTTTGAGAGGGTGGAAAAGCATTGTCTTTAGAAGAAAAAGGGATACTGGTAGAGCCTTGGTGGCACAGTGTGTTACATGTGGGTCTGCTAACCTCAAGGTCAGCTGCTCAGCTGGGGAAAGATGAGATGAGGCTGTCTGTTCCCATAAAGATTTACAGCCTCAGATACCCCGGGGAGCAGGGCCACTCTGTCCTCAGAATCAACTCAATGGAACAGCAGTTAACTGGAAGGCTGGCAGATGGCACTACCCAGGGGGTCTGTGGTAGAAAGTTCTGGAGATCTGCCTCAGTGAAGACAGTGCTTCTGGTTGTGTAGCAGCCAATGGATTCCGGCTCATATGGATCCTGAGGAGACCAGAACTGCTTCACCGGGTTTTCCTACCTTGTCAATCTTTATCAAATAGATCATCAGGTCCTCATTCCCACGCAGAAGCCAGTAGGTTTGAACCACTGACCTCTTGGAGAACAGCCAAATGCTCATTGCATCACCAGGGCAAAAATGACAACAGCCTAGAAACCCAAGAGGGCAGTCCTACTCGGTCACGTGGAATCACCAGAGTCCAGAATGCTGGCCCCTAACCACCACCACCTGAGTACCCTGGGGAGGCCCTGTGCAAACCGTCCCTCTCCAACTCCATCACTCGCTGTACCTCTACCCTTGCCTTTTGCTCCAGTCACTGAGCCTTTGGTCCCTAGACACCAAGACACTTGCCTGTCGTTCCCTGCTTAAACACCCTAGAACCTGGCCAACCAAATTCATCAGTTCTTCTGAGAAAGCCTCCTTTACCCCTAAGTCAGGTCTGGACTTCTAGTCCCGTGCTCTTTCTAGTCCACTCTTTGGTGGAAAACCTCACCAACTGAGTGTCCCTCATCATTGGAGGCTGAGGGTCCAGAGAGAGGAGGAGCCCGGCTGTTGTGCGGACACAGTTCTACGGAAAGCTGAGAGGAGAACCTGTGGACACTTTGGGATGGATCATTCTGTACAGTGGGGCATGTCCTGTGAACAGAAAGATGCTGACCAGCAGCCTCCCTGGCCTCTATCAACTAGATATCAGTAGCAACAATACCCCATTACCCACAGCGACAACCCAAAACATCTCTGTTGTTGTTAGGAACTATCGAGTTGATACTGACTCATAGCGACCCCGTGCATAACAGAACAAAACACTGCCTGGTTCTGCACCGTCCTCACAAATCCTTGGTACACTTGAACCCACTGCTGCTGCCACGGTGCCAATCCATCTCGCTGGGGGTCTTCCTCATTTCTCTGACCCTCCACTTTACCACCATGTCCCTTCTCCAGGGACTGGTCCCTCCTGATAATTTGTCTGAAGTACGAGAGATGAAGCCTGGCTTCCAAGGAGCACTCTGGCTGTACTTCTTCCAACACAAATTGGTTGGTTCTTTTGGCACTCCATGGTACTTTTAATATTCTTCTCCAATATCATAACTCAAATGCATCAATTCTATGGTCTTTCTTATTTGTTGTCCAGCAGATGAGACTGTTGTTAAGTGCCAGTGAGTTGGGTTGAACTCATAGCAACCCTGTATAGGGTTTCCAAGAAGGAGCTCGTGAGTTTGAACCATCGATCTTGCAGTCCGCACAATATTTTCCCACAGTGCCACACCAGGACTCCCACAGATGAGGTTAGGTGCCAGCAAGTCTATTATAACTCACAGTGACCTCATGGGACAGAGGAGAACTGCCCCATGGGGTTTTCTAGGCCATGGTCATCTTTGTAGGAGCAGATCGTCAGGTCTTTTCTCCCTTGAAGCCACTAGTGGGTTCGAACCATGGATCTTTAGGTTAGCAGCTGAGCGCTTAACTATTTACACCACAAGGGCTCCTTAAACACATCTCTAGACAGTGCCCGGTATCCCCTGTCCCAGTGTCCTGGAGTGAGGACACACCTGTCAGGACACAGCAGAGGAAGAACCAAGCTAGGAGAGAGGCAGGGAGGAGCGGTCAGGGTGAGAACTGAACAGAAACTGCCAGAGGTGCACAAGGTTCCAGTGTTCAGGGCAGGAATCCCCAGACCCAATCAGCACTAGAGAGAGCCCTGGTGTCCCCGGATGTGAGCCCTCATTACAGGCTCAGCTGCCAGGACTCACCAGGGGCTAGTGGTCACCAGGGGAGGGCTCCCCAACATCTCAGCCACCCTCTTCTTCCAGCCCATTCCTGAGGGTAGGGCTAGGGAGAGCAGAAGAGAAGACAGGGTGGAGCCTAAGTCAGAATCTCTGCATGTTCCTCACCCTTGATGGGGGCAAGGCACTTGACGGATGTTATCTGCTCCCTGCAGGTGGAGGTGGGAACCTGGGAAAGAAGTTTTGTGGCTCCCAAACAAGCATCCTCCACTCACTGGTAGGGAAAAGTCCCCAGAGAACTGGACACCAGACGGAGTTGTCCACTAATCCCACTCATTGCTCAGGGATCTGGGTCCTGGAGCTGCAACTCACAGGCTGAGAGCCAGGGGACAACCCACTCCTCCCGCTGCCTTAAGTCTTTGCTTTCACAGCCCCTGAGTGACCTCAAGGCTCTGTCTGTCTTGTGGAGTCAGTTCTGATTCATAGCAACCCTGCATAGGGTTTCCAAGGCTGTAAATCTTTATGGGAGCAGAAAGCCTCATCTTTCTCGCATGGAACTGCTGGTAGTTTCAAACTGCTGACTGTGAGGTTAGCAGCCTGATTCGTAACCACGATGCTACCAGAGCTCCTTTTGTGAATTCAGCACTTAGCTCAGAACTAAAAGGGTAGTGATTCTAATCTACCCAGATGCACCTTTGGAAGAAATGCATGGTGGTCTATTCCTAAAACATCAGCCACTAAAAACCTGATGGAACAGTTCTACTGTGACACACATGGGGTGCCATGGATTGGAGTCGACTTGACAGTGAATCTTTCGAATGACATTGTCACCCCAAGGATTTGGGGGTGAGGAGATGAGACATGGAGGTGAATATTCTAGCAGGTGTCTTTGGCCAGAGCCCCGGCTGTTCTGTGGGAGCTTTCGAGCACTCACCCTGGAAAGAGACTATGCCCAAGGGAGCTGTGGCTTTGGGAGGGGATGTTGCTAAACACCGTGACTCAGCTCTAGGGAAGTGGCTAAAATTGGCTGGCCACCGGTGGCCACTCCCCATAGCCTACCCTGGGACAGGACACTCCTATCCCAACTCAGAAGCCACATCCGACTTTATAGGGGAGCAAGGGAAAACAGAACAGATTCCTCCCCTGGGCCCGGGACCATAAAACAGCCCTTTATGGCAGAGCATCAAGCCCTCCTGGGAAGCCCAGACTCTGGCTGGGTTCTCACACCCTCAGTTCTGGCCCACTCCCGGCACTGTTACTGAGCATCCCAGAATCCATTTTAGCTCATAGGGACCCCACAGAGTAGAAGCACCTCATGGGGTTTCCTAGGCTGTCATTTTTATAGGGGCAGACGGCCAGGTCTTTCTGACAAATCACTGTGTAGGTCCAAACAACCCACCTTTCAGTAGCAGCTGAACTCTGACCTGTTTGTGTCATCAGAGCTCCTGA